CTTCCGCTGCTTTCCCAGGCGCATTCCCAGGGAAGTGGAGCAGCCAGGACTTGAGCAGGTGCCCTTGCTGGATGCCAATGTCTTAGGCAGTGGATTAACCCACTGTGCCACGACGCCAGCCCCCTGGACACTCTGTGTGACAGCTATTTCAGCATGTACCAGTAAGGAGGCTGCAGTGTGGCACACCCGTGGCTGGGTACCATGCCGCAGGCTCTGTATCGGCTCCTAACCAGGTGCTACCAGCATCGGTTAAACATCTGCCTCCTACTGCTCATGTTCTCCGTCTGTCAAGACTGGGGCTGAACACAGACAGCTCAGTCAGGAAGACGCACCAAGCAACACACCTGGGCAGGCCAGTTCCTGGGGACCTCAGAGACCTCCACCCCAGCAAGCCAGGCCAGGGGGAGCCCTGGGCTCTGGCCCACGCTCAGCAGCTGCCCCCCGCCATCACTGTGTAGAGCAGAACCCACCTGGAGGTTCGGCTGCCATCTGTGGCCCAGGATGGTTCCATCTTCAGCCGGGACTAAAGGGATCGTGGGAAACATATTTGGGAACATTGGCCCCTGGATGCACTCTGCTGGTTCCTTCCTTCATCCGCCCGCCAGCAGCACCCCCGTGCCTGTGGCTGTACCTGGGTTGGGCAGAGAGAGACAATCCCTGTAGCCCAAATCTCCACCCAGTGGGACAAGCCTGGCTCACCAGCCCTGAGACCCTGTGCCCCCAATCTCTGCCACGTGACAATGTGTCCCTAAGGGTCGTGTGTTGGATACTCAGTCCCCGGTGTGCTTGCTGATGTTGAGGGGTAGTGCAAGGTCAGCAGGGCTTTGGGGTGCTCCCCTTGGAAGGAATTAGCAGAGTCCTCACGGGACTGCCAGCAGGGGGCGCTATAAAGAAGCGAGACTGGCACCTCTGGGCTCCCTGGCTTCCCTCTGCCCTCCTGCCACTGCTGCACCATCCCTCCATGGGTCCTCAGGCCAGCGCCAGGCCCTGCGGCAGCCAAAACCATGCATTGAATCAACCCCCCCCTTTTTTTTTAAGATTTGTTTATTTTATTTGAAAGTCATATTTACAGAGAGAGAAGGAGTGGCAGAGAGAGGTCTTCCATCCGCTGGTTCATTCCTCAATTGGCCGCAATGGCCGGTGCTGTGCCAATCTGAAGCCAGGAGCTTCTTCCAGGTCTCCCACGTGGGTGTAGGGGCCTGAGGACTTGAGCCATCTCCTACTGCTTTCCCAGGACACAGCAGAAAGCTGGATTGGAAGTGGAGCAGCTGGGACTAGAACCGGCCCCCACATGGGATGCCAGCACTGCAGGCCAGGGCTTTAACCTGCTATACCACAGCACTGACCTCAACCCCTTTTCTTTATAAAGTACCCAGGCCCAGGAATTTTGTCAGAGCAAATGGAAATGGAGCTCAGGACCAGCACTGTGGCTCAGTGGGTTAAGCCGATGCCTGTGACACCAGCATCCTACATGGGCACTGGTTCAAGTCTCGGCTGCTCCAATTCTGATCCAGCTCCCTGCTGTGGCCTGGGAAAGCAGCAGATGGCATTATTGAGATGCCTCGGTGAGACATTATCAATACTCTTGAAACAAAAGAAGCAAAGCCAGAAAACCTCAATAGAGAAGTAGAAGATACAAAGGGCTGATGTGGCGTAGTGGGTTAAGCCACTGCTGCGACACTGGCCCCCATATTGGAGTGCTGGTTCAAGTTCCGGCTGTTCTGCTCCCTACCCAGCTCCCTGCAATGCACCTGGAAAAGCAGCAGAAGATGCCCCAAAGTGCTTGGGTCCCTGGCACCCAGGCCTGCTGTGGCAGCCATCTGGGGAGTGAACCAGCAGATAGTAAGTAGATCTCTATCACTCTACCTTTTGAAATGAATCTTTTCTTTTTTTTGGCCAACCACTTTTTTTTTTTTTTTGGGGGGGGGGGGACAGGCAGAGTGGACAGTGAGAAAGAGAGACAGAGAGAAAGGTCTTCCTTTTGCCATTGGTTCGCCCTCCAATGGCCGCTGCGGCCGGCGCACCGCGCTGATCCAATGGCAGGAGCCAGGAGCCAGGTGCTTCTCCTGGTCTCCCATGGGGTGCAGGGCCCAAGCACTTGGGTCATCCTCCACTGCACTTCCTGGCCACAGCAGAGAGCTGGCCTGGAGGAGGGGAAACTGGGACAGAATCCGGTGCCCCGACTGGGACTAGTACCCGGTATGCCGGCGCCGCAAGGCGGAGGATTAGCCTAGTGAGCCGCGGCGCCGGCCTTGGCCAACCACTTTTAAAAGGCCAATATTTCTTCCAGTCTTTTTTTTTTTTTTAACAATTTAAATTGGATTAGATGTCACCCATTTGTCTTTTTTTTTTTTTTTTTTTTAAAGATTTATTTATTTGAAAGTCAGAGTTACACAGAGAGAGGTCTTCCACCTGATGGTTCACTCCCCAATTGGCCGCAAGGGCTAGAGCTGAGCCGATCCAAAGCCAGGAGCCAGGAGCTTCTTCCAGGTCTCCCACGCGGGTGCAGGGGCCCAAGGCTTGGGCCATCTTCTGCTGCTTTCGTAGGCCATAGCAGAGAGCTGGATAGGAAGGGGAGCAGCGGGGACTGGAACCGGTGCCCATATGAGATGCCGAGACCACAGGCGGCGGCTTTACCTGCTATGCCACAGCGCCGGCCCCGTGCAGGGTATTTTGAATAACATAGTGTAGACTCTGGATTCCCTTCTGTTTCCATGAGAGTTGCCTGACTCCAGAGGCAGCTCCCACTGGGTCTCCTGGTTCTTTGACAACCTCACTTCAGGCTGTACGAGGGTGGGGTCTTCTGTGGTTTTTGTCTTAGAGCACACGCCCACGGAGTTTCCCCTGGGAAGCCTGAAATATTTACCAAGCCTCTCGATTGTTTGGAGACATTAACTCCAGACTCTCTCTCCCCAGCGCTGGGCACCACCAAAACCTCTGCTCAGCTTTTCCAGCCTTCCCAGTGCCATGAGCCGCCCCACTCCTTGCCTGCCTCTCACTTTCTGGTACACGGTGTTAGCCTGTATGATTGATTACGGGCAGTAGGTCAGCTCCCTGCAGGCAGCTCCTCTGCCACTGGAGGCCAGAGCATCATCAGATCCTGAAATGTTATCTAAAACAAAATCAGACCCAACTTCATTTCTTGGCAACGACTGTACAGTGCTCTTACTTTTTTTCAAATGTGAGGTCAGTATTTTGTTTTTAAGATTTATTTGAGAGGTAGAGTTAGACAGAGAGAGGGAGACAGAGAGAGGTTCCACTGGTTCACTCCCCAGATGGCTGCAACAGCCAGAGCAGAACCAATCCGAAGCCAGGAGCTAGGAGCCTCCTCCGGGTCTCCCACATGGGTGTAGGAGCCCAAGGACTTGGGCCATCTTCTACTGCTTTCCTAGGCCACAGCAGAGAGCTGGATTGGAAGAGCAGCTGGGACTCGAACCGGCGTCCATATGAGATGCAGGCACTGCAGGCAGAGGCTTAGCCCACTATGCCACAGCACCAGCCCCCTTGCTTTCATTTTGTGAAAATCCATGAGGCGTGTGCTTGTCTACTTTTCTGAATGTGCTATACGTCATTGAAATGTTTATTCTGAGAAAACACCCATTTCACATCAGTGCCCAGTTTAAACTCCCCAGGGGCTTCCCTCTGTCCCCTAAGATCAAACCCTGACCCTGCTGTCCTGTGTCTCTGTCCTGGCCACAGTTTCTGTAACTCCTTCAATGACATCAATACCAACTGGAGCTCCACCCTCCCAGTCCACAGGGCCAGCTTCTTGCACTCAGGGCTGCAGCTTAAGCTCTCTCCTGCAGGGGTACCTCCTGCCAAAGGCCCCTCCTCTGGCTCCCAGTAGGCATTAAACAGCAGGCACTGGTCCTCAACAAACTTCATGCCACCCTCTGAGGCACTCTGTGACAAGGTTGGGGCGGCTGCCTGCTGACACCTGCTGGAGCTGCCTGCAGGGGTTGGGGACCGAGATGACACTTGGGCACTTCCCTGAATATCCAAAGACCTAGCTGAACCAGAGCCCATGCCAGTGCCGGACAAGGCTTCAGATAAAGCTCTCCCTCGCCCATCAGGCCTTGCCACTTGTGCCAAATGAAAGCGCTGACCCGCGCGCTCCGTCAGCTTGCCCTTCCCTAACGTAGACATCCAGACGGTTTTAAAGAAGAGAGAAGTTTATTGTGCGGGGCGGACCTCATTTTCATTACAGCCTCAGGAAATGTTTGCCCAGTCCCCTTCCGATGCAGGGATTCTACAGACACTCCAACACCCGGCGCTGCATTTAACGGAGCAGGATTATGGTCAAACAGCCGCAGAGAAGAGTTTGCAAAGCACATCGCTTCTTTAACATCCTGAATGTTTTCCCACGCTTACCTTGTTATTTCCAGGGACAATCGGTCGGAAAACATGGTACTCGATAACCTTTTTCTCCAGTTGTCAACCTTAAAGTATTTTGCTCATTTCTCTGGAAACCTCCACGGTGCCAAGGCAATGCAGAAAGCGCAGGGTGGCTCAAGGCCTTGGCTCCATACCCCCCTTCCCCAGCCTTCCACATCTGGCCTCTGCGTTGCTAGGCAACTGGGACAGACTCCAGAGGGGGCCACTGGCTTGTGGCAGTCTCATCTCCTTGGAGTTGAAACTGCAGGCAGCACGCAGCCGCCTGAAGCTGATTTTGTGTTTTGTTTTGTTTTGTTTTAATCCAGTTTCGGCACTCGGTGACACCCTGGGGGAGCAGGATCCTCTCCTCCACTCGCTGCTGCCATCGTGTGACCATGCACGCGTGCTGCTCCTGTATTAGGTAAGGAAACCGAAGGCCAAAGAAACAGCGAGAAACTTGCATCCTCCACAGTTTAAAATATAGAGAATCACCTGAGTTAACGGTGTCTAATCGCTTTGCTTGAACTCAACCCGGTAATTACCGAAGCCCTGCATAAGATCTTTCCCTCACAGTCAAGGCAGAGAAAACAAATTTAAAAAAAAAGATGTTACCCTACCAAGCAAGACACATGATAAGCTCTGTTTATTAGCTCTCATCATCTCACAAAGGGGTCCCCCACACAATCAAGTCCTTAAAAAATGAATTATTAAAATCACACAGCGTGGAGTAGATCCTTCAGTCACTGCACAGAGCAGGAGCTCCAGTTTTTATTCTCCATTTTTGTCCAGCAGGTGGCTTGAGCGATACATCACATTTCCACGAAATCTGGCACTACCGCGCTAACATCCTATTCAGAAAAGTGGACTACAATTCCCGTGCAACTCTGAATTATTTTTTTTGCTCACTCAAACCAAATGAGGCACAGCCATTTGAGGAAAGGGGTGCTTTCAGGTATCCAACTTGACTCCTGGCAGGTGCAGGGGTCGTTTTATGCTCGCTGCTATCTGGCCTGTTCCTAACTAGCGTTAAGTGAACCACAGTTCCTGGCTACAGGGACCCAGGACCACCTGTCCCTTCCACACCTGCTCTACGGTCCCTAGCTCTCAGTGCTCTGAAGAGTGGAGGATTCAGTCCCTGCAATCAGATACGAGTTATTCAGTCAGGCAGAGCTGCAACAAGAAATCCAGCTCCCTGTAGGGGAACTGCTTCTTTACGACCTAATAGATGGCATCTCTGCTTTCCAGAGCGTCGCGTTCAAGCCACCCACGGGCCTACCATGATGCCTGTGCAGATGTGCCAACTTCTGCAGGTTCAATTTGCAATGCAACACTCCAACGGATTCACAACTTTATCAATCCCACAGAAAATTAACGTGCCCTGCCTCTCGGGGTGAAGGGGTCCAGTACACACTTCAAAAACCCAACCTGGGAGGCCACATGCCTCCTGGCCCCAGCAACGGGTTGTGACAGGGTCTGCCCTCAGGGACACAAAAACAGGCCCACGCTATTACACCATTTCATGTCACTCAGACACGGCACGTGGTTTCTCAGTTCTCCGTCACTTATTTAGGGAGAACACCTTCCACTACAGCCTCAGAGAGGGGGAAAAATCAATTCCATGGAATGATGGCTAAGAACGACACCCTGTGGAGTCTGCGGAAGCTTGAGCACTCGGCACAACCAACTCCAGCCCCTTGGGAAGGCCCCTCCCTGCCTGTCCTCCCACTCCCACTTTCTTCTAGTATATAGGCGCTGGGCAAGGCTGATCAGCACCACGCAGGGGCCAGAGCAGCACCTCCAAGGACATTCTGAAAGGCCATCACATCCCATGAAACAAGAAAGGATGCCTGGGGAGGGGGAGGACGGCCTTGACCACCCTGGAAGCCAGCCGGTCCCTCGGTACCTGTCAGGGTGGTGACAGCCAGGGCAGGGAGTGACCAGGGCAGCACCTTACGTGGGCAACGTGGCTGACTGCACCTTCTTATGAAGAATACGCAAGGAGCCTTGGAGGGACGCAGAGCAAGGCGGTCGGCTCCGTGCCCCGCAGAAGCTGGCGCTTCAGAAGCACATCCCTGGGACTTGCAAGTCCCTGTTCATCTCCCAGACGGCGAGCGGGGAAACAGCCCCGGACACAGCGGCAGCATGCTCTCTCACACCCGCTGCAGCGTGCGGGTGCCGCTGGGACAAGCGTCTTTAATTTTGCCGATCCTAGCCCTTTTAGGTCAGGGGCAGGCAGGGGTCACCGTGCTCCAGCCCTTGTGCCCAGCAGCCACGTGGGGGCAGCTTTTCCGTCTTAGATCAAGCTACCTGCTTGACCCTTCTTTGAGCTCAGCCCTTCCCAGTAGCTAATGGACTTATAAAAACTAAGTCAAACGCTCCTGCAGACCTACCGGGAGGCTCCTCAACCAACCTTTACATTTCCAAAGGGGAAAAATAAATTACTTGATATTTGTGATAAGACTGCACACCAGTGTAGTGACTGGCTAAGAAGGTGAGGACTCAGCTGTCTATGTGCGCTCACTCCTTGCATTTGTAAAACGCAGGTAAAACATTAAAAAAAAAAAACAAAACCAAAACCGCCCGCGTGGCACTGAAAGGCAAGCTCAGTGCCCACCCGTGCTTGTGCTGCTGCACCCCGGCAGCCTGGGCAGGGCCGGGGCCGGGGCACTGGGGCCTCCCCCAGGGACACCACCGCCCCCTCTCTGGAAAAGGCGGCCCCCCAGGGGCAGCGCTGTGCTGCTCACATGAAGATGCACCAAGGAATGGCCCAAGGGCTGCCGGGCTTCACAGTGCAGCTGACTGAAGTCAGAACTGGGGTGGGCAGTTGCTGCAGGCCAAAAGTAATCCACGGAACTGGGGTGGGGGAAGGAACAGAGGACAGTGTCCAGAGAAACACGAGGCCATGGGCAGCATCTCTCCTGCTCCGGGACCTGGCAGTACTCTGTAGAGAAAACCCACATGGGACAGAGCAGGCCATGTGCGCACCCCTCGGGGAGCGGAGGGGATCGCTCCAGGGGCTCAGTATGGCTGTATCCAGTAAGGAAACCGAGTGAGAGCAGACGTGTTCTTACGAAGTGAGAAGAAAAAGCAGACTTCCACAAATACAAAAATTGTTTACAAAACAATCACCTAGAAAGTTCATTAGGACTGGGTGGAGAACAATTAATAGTTTTTCATTTCAAATGCCCGTCTAGCATGATGGTAACGATGATTTAAAAAAAAAGAGAATGGCCAATTTCTGGTCTTCCTCTGTGCCCGCCCCCCAGGACCCCAGACTTCCCAGAGCCCTCCTATTCCTGATATCTTCCCTATCCTCACCCAACCCACCCCATCCTGTCCAGAATTAATTTGCTTAGCAACGGCACTGAGCCAACCCTGAAGACACGTGATTGTTGGTTGGGTTTTGACAAAACAACAGTCCTGATGTTCGGGCACAAGGGCATACTGGTGTTACCCTCGAGGCACACGGGCCTTGGACGGAGCTTCTGCTGGCTTGACCCGGAGCAGGGTGGGCAGCGCAGCGCAGCTAGGCGGCAGGTAAACTGAGGTAAGGAGGAACGCGGCGGCTCTGCTTCCCAGGACAGTGCAGCAGGTGTGTGCTCGCGGTGTCGGCACAGAGGCGACTCGCGCTCTTCCAGCGGCTGCTGCCACTCCTTTCTCCAGCCGGAGGACTGCTCTCTGCAGAGCCCCCGGGATCAGCCACTTGCCTTCCTCCAGGTACAAATCCAACAGAGCTTCCACCCAGGACCAGGCGCCCACTGGTGTGCAGAAGTCAGAATCAGAAGTTCAGAATCAAAAGGTGTGGCTCAACCGCCCGCCAGTTTATCAGCAGTTGTATAGACAGATCAGAAAACTAGCATTTAGTATAAAATCTGTTTTTCAAATGGTATCGTTTCCTATTCTCCTCCGGATATCATAATTCTTCCCGATTCTGAAGTCCTGTGCAAAGGCAGAACAGAGAACACAGATCAGCCCCAGCGCTTACAGACACCAGGCAGGCACTCTCCCCCGCTGCCACGCAGTATTTACCCCTCCCTTCCTTGCATCTCTTTTTATATTTTTGGTTTGGTGCTTTCAGGCTCAGAACTTTCTTTAAATCCCCACAGCAGCTGGGACTGGGCTAGGCCAAAGCCAGGAGCTGGAAATGCAACCAGGTCTCCCATGGCGATGGCAGGGACCCAACTTCTTGAGCCGTCACTGCTGCCCCCCAGGATGTACTTCAGCAAGAAGATGGAGTTAGCAGAGCTGGGACTCAAACCCAGGAATCTGATAAGAGACGCAGGCGTCCCTATCAGCCTCTTCACCCCTGTACCGAATGCCCCACCTTGTTCTACTTTTAAAAGCAAAAAGCAAAATAAAGAGACAGCTTTATTTTAAACACACTGAAACATCCTACACCGCTCCAAACAAATTGGCTTCACAAGTGCAATATTCACTCAGAGTAAACACGTGTGCGTCTTCAGTCAGGAGTCTTTTCCCACTTAACAGCATATTAACATCTTCCTACGTGTCAGTGAAGCTCATTCTCGGTTGTTTGTACCGCTTTCAATGCTTTTCAATTCATAAGAAACAGTAAAATAAATTTCTTAATCCATTTAACTTTTTCTCAAGTGTTGAATTTTTTTTCTTTAGGATAAATCTTCAAGAGAGGAATTCCTGAGAGTATAAACATTTTAAAGGTTCCATGAAGCGGTGGTGTAGCACAGCGGGTTAATGCCCTGGCCTGAAGCACCGGCATCCCATATGAGCGCTGGTTCGAGACCTGGCTGCTCCACTTCCGATCCAGCTCTTTGCAGAAGCCTGGGAAAGCAGTAGAAGATGGCCCAAGTCCTTGGGCCCCTGCACCCATGTGGGAGACCTGGAAGAAGCTCCTGGCTCCTGGCTTCAGATTGGCACAGCTCTGGCCATTGCGGCCAATTGGGGAGTGAACCATCAGATGGAAGACCTCTCTCTCTCTCTGCTTCTCCTCTCTCTGTGTAACTCTGACTTGGGCCTTCTTCTACTGCTATCCCAGGCCACAGCAAGGAGCTGGATTGGAAGAGGAGCAGCTGGGACTAGAACTGGCGCCCATATGGGATGCCAACGTTTCAGGCCAGGGCGTTAACCCACTGTGCCACAGCACTAGCCCTATAAATAAATCTTAAAAAATAAATAAAGGCTCCTAATACAGACATGCTACTTTAAAAAAAAATGAAGATTTATTTTATTTATTTGAAAGGCAGAGTTACACAGATAGAGGGAGAGACAGACAGATTTTCCATCCTCTGGTTCACTCCCCAACTCTCAGCAACAGCTGAGGCTGGGCCAAGCCAAAGCCAGGAGCCAGGAACTCCAAACAGGTCTCCTACATGGGTGGTAGGAGCCCAAGCACTCAAGCCATCCTCTACTGCGTTCCCAGGCACACTAGCAGAGCTGGATGGGAAGTGGAGCAGCTGGGAATCAAATCGGTGCTCACATGAGGTGCAGGGACTGCAGACTACGCCTTAACCCGCTACGCCACACGCCAGCCCAGATACTCTGCTTTTTAACAAGGGCTGCCCTAACACACAAAGCTTCAGCAAGGTGTCCTTAGAACACAGACAGCACTGTCAACATGGCATGACCAACATGTCTGCTTTTGTCGACGTAGCAGATACTAACGACAGGCTGCTTTGTTCCGATGGTTGTTTCTGAGGACTGACTTCCTAATTACATTTTCCTCTTATTTCAACAGTGTGTCCACACTCTTTGCTCATTTCTCTGTTGGAAATCCTTGAGGTTTGACTGACGCATTTAAGCGTATTTTTTATGGTGACTAGAGGACCTTCTAGCTGTGATATTTAATATTGCATCATCTTTAAAATCCATGTTCTGCCTTTATTTTTTTATAATTAGTTGAAAGTTAAACAAATCTCAAAATCCAGATCCCAACTTGTTAGTTTGTAAAAAGTCACTTTCGGGGACCAATGCTGTGGCTTAGCAGGTAAAGTCGCCGCCTGCAGTGCCAGCATCCCATATGGGCAACTGGTTCGAGGCCTGACTGCTCCACTTTCCATCCAGCTGTCTGCTATGTCCCAGAAAAACAGTAGAAGATGGCCCAAGTGCTCCCAAGTGGGAGAACCAGTTGAAACTCCTGACTCCTGGCTTCAGATCAACACAGCTCTGGCCATTGTGGCCAACCTGGGAGTGAACCATCAGATGGAAGACCTCTCTCTTTCTCTCTCTGCCTCTCCTTCTCTCTCTGTGTAACTCTTTCAAGTAAAATAAATAAATCTTTAAAAAAAAAGTCAACTTTGTATACTAATAATGTTTTCAAGTGGCTATCACACCAGATGGACACACAAAAGGAGAGACATTACACAGTGACTTAAGTCCTTTCTAGCCTTTTGAATTGGATACAAACGCTCCATCCCCCACTGTGGTGGGGAGCAAGCACTCTTCTCCAGCCGACCCATACGTCATCTCAGTCTCAACGTGAGTGCTCACCAGGGCCTGGCAGATGTAAGACCAACCCAAGGGCTCTCCCAAGAGCTCCGCAAGTGTCAGGTATGGCTCATGTATCACAGAACTCATGAGCCTTGAAGAACAATACTTACAGTTAAAGTCCTCCTTCTCCCTCCCAGCAAAAAATAGGGGGTACAGCGATCATGTTAATAAACACTCCTTAGAAGGCCAACTGGAAGAGGAGAATGAAAACCACACTGGCAGATACTGGGACAGAAGGTCCGTGCCAGGGGACTCATGGCAGAGGGCTCACAGTGTCTCCTCCCCTTCATGCACCACTCTGTTACTTTTGCAACACACAGAAACGCGTGAAGAAACGCTCACCCAAGGTCAAGGGTGTGCACCTACCTTCTTGGTGCTGTTCTCGCGTCTCCTCCCTGTACAGCGTCCCGGCATCCTTCTCCTCCTGAAACCGGGTCTGCAGCTGCTTGATCTCCTGATCATAGTCCTGCCACTCGGGGACAATGCGCACGGCCGCCTGCAGCTTGGGCTCTTTGGTCATTGGATTATTGCACTGTGACAACCACAACAACATACTTCAGCTGCGCAGAGGAAAGCACACACTACATAGCACTCAAAGGTATGCCTGCCCGTGGGGAACAAGCCCTAACTGGACAAAGAGAGCACCCATGAGTAAGCAAGTGACTTATTATTAGCAGAAGCAACAGGTCAGCGGGGAGCTAAGAGAAAGCAGAAGCAAGCAGAAACCTACATGTGGAAAAATGCCAAAGCTCAGAGAAGAACTGCCAGGTGACAAGGCTGACCGTCGGCCGTGGGAACAGTCCCATCAGGCCCGAAACTAGCACAAGATATTGCAGGGTGCCCGAGCTATACAACCACAAAGAGAAGCTAACTCATCAAGAGCGGTGTGGACCATCACTCAGTCACACGTCTCCCTGCGGGGAGAGGCGGAGGAGAGACGTGGGCAGCTCACCAGATCGATGGTTTTTGCCCTTTTCTTAGAGGCGTCGTCACACCACGTTTCACACCAAAGCCATTCTTGAGGGAGAGATTTAATTGGCACCTGATGGATCATGTTATTCGGCAAATCCTGTTTGGTAAAGAAAATAAAACATGAGAACCTAATGTTCTGGGAGAAGTTTAAATAACAGCACAATTGGTGATTTTAGTTGATCATTACAAATCACATGCCAATCATAAATGCTTAGAACTCAAACCAAAAGACTTACAAAAGTTAGAAAATTTATTTACGGCTTTGTGGAAAATCTCAAAATTTAGAAGAGCTGTAAAACATTGGCCCATAAGAAGCAACAGAGAAACTTCTGCTTAAAATTCACAAATGGCTGGCACCAAGACTTCCTTCCACAACAGCAATCTTAAGAATATCCCTTTTGATTAACTGAAAGTCAACTAAATACAAGGAATTGTCAAAAATGTTCACAGAAATGCATTTTATGAAAAAACTATGCAAAGATTTCAAAGAATTTTTCTGCCAAAATAAAATCTTTTGAATTACACTTTCCAGGAACCTCTGAAGCACCCCCACAGAGCGGTGGTTTCTGCAAAGGAGCTTTGAATCCACTTCTTCCACTAAGACTTGTCCTCAAACACAGGAGGTCTACAGATGTCTCTGGTCTACTCTACTCCATGCTTTGAAGATACTGTCTCAAGATTCTTGACTCTGAATTTCCCATGATACAAAGTTCACTATCTTAAGACTGACATGGAAAAAACATTGATGGGGTAAAATGTACACAAATCACTAGCTCTGATATTTGCAAAGAAAAACTCTTGCCAACGATTTTCTTAGCCTTCTATAAAATGGTGCAAATAGATGACTAAAATGTAAAATAAGTTGGATCAAGATACCAAATATGAGGTCAGTGCTGTGGTGTAATAGGTAAAGCTACCACGTGCAGTGCCAGCATCCCATGAGTAACAGTTCCAGTCCTGGCTGCTCCTCTTCCTTTTTTTTTCTTTCTTTCTTTTTTTTGACAGGCAGAGTTAGTGAAAGAGAGAGACAGAGAGAAAGGTCTTCCTTCCGCTGGTTCATCCCCCAAATGGCCGCTACAACCGGAGCTACGCCAATCTGAAGCCAGGAGCCAGGTGCTTCCTCCTGGTCTCCCGTGAGGGTGCAGGGTCCAAGGACCTGGGCCATCCTCCACTGCCTTCCTGGGCCACAGCAGAGAGCTGGACTGGAAGAGGAGCAACCAGGACAGAATTTGGCGCCCCAACCGGGACTAGAACCCAGGGTACCGGCACCGCAGGCAGAGGATTAGTCTAGTGAGCCGTGGCGCCAGCCTTGGTGGCTCCTCTTCCAATCCAGCTCTCTGCTATGGCCCGGGAAAGCAGTAGAAGATGGCCCAAGTGCTTACATCCCTGCACCCACATGGGAGACCTGGAAGAAGCTCCTAGCTCCTGGCTTCAGATCAGTGCAGCTCCAGCCACTCCGGCCATCTGGGGAGTGAACCAGTGTATGGAAGACCATTCTCACTGTCTCTCCCTCTCACTCTCTGTAGCTCTCTCTCTCACTCAAAAAAAAAAAAAAAAAAAAAAAAAAAAGATATCAAATATTAGTCTTGAAGTACATTAATCTCAAGGAAAGTCTGTTACCGACTGTTGAACTCTGCTGCACCGCAGTAGAAGCTGAGTCAGAAACATAGCCAGTTCCAGTTCTCTATGTGCTTTGAAAGAGAGAGAACTCTACTTCTAGTACTGGTGGTCAAGGCACAGAAGACTGTCGTATTGCCTGAGGATGGCTGGGAAAGCTGAACCCATTACAAAAAACTCACACTTGAAGGTGCTACAAAGCTAACAAGACAATGCAGAATTACTGGGCCCAGAGAGGACGGAGACTCACAGAGATAACCCTGTACTATGAGGTCCTTTTCCCAGAAACAAATACTGATTAGTGGGGTTTTCGGGGGTATTCAACAGCCACTGATGTCTGAGTAACAAAGATTTGCATTTACAGACCAAAGGAGTTGAGTGTTCTGGTGCAAACACCTTCTGATTCTGAATGAGCCAAAATCAGGGCTGCCAAAGATTGCAGTTCAACTTCAAATTATCAAAATCTTAGGACTAGATTATAATAAACCTGGACAGCAAGTACCCCAAATTCCTAATGAAAACAAACATAATTTCTGCAGGATGATACTACTGTTCTTTTTAAATATTTTATTTATTTGAGCCGGCGCTGTGGTGCAGTGGGTTAACGCCCTGGCCTGAAGTGCCGGCATCCCATATGGGCGCCAGTTCTAGTCCCGGCTGCTCCTCTTCAGATCCAGCTCTCTGCTGTGGCCTGGGAAAGCAGCAGAAGATGGCCCAAGTCCTTGTGTCTCTGCACCTGCATGGGAGACCCAGAAGAAGCTCCTGGCTCCTGCTTCGGATTGGCGCAGCTCCGGCCGTTGTGGCCATCCTGGGAGTGAACCAGCAGATGGAAGACTTCTCTCTCTGTTTCTACCTCTCTCTGTAACTCTTTCAAATAAATAAAAATAAATCTTTTAAAAAATATTTTATTTATTTGAAAAACAGAGTTTTCCAAGTCCTGGCTGCTCCACTTCTAGTCTAGCTCCCTATTAAAGAGCCTGGGAATGTAGTGGAAGATGGCCCAAGTACTTGGGCCCCTGCACCCACATGGAAGACCTGGAAGAAGCTCCTGGCTCCTGACTTTGGCCTGGCCCAGCCCTGGCTGTTGTGGCCATCTGGAGAGTAAACCAGAGGATGGAAGATCTCTCTCTCTCTCTATATATATATATATATAAATAATAATAAATATTTATTTCTTATTTGAAAGGCGAAGAGACAGAAAAGGAGAAGCAGAGACAGAGATCTTCCACCCAGTGGTTCATTTCTTATATGTCTATAACAGCCAGAGCTGGGCCGGGAGCCAAAAACTCCATCTGGGTCTCCCATAGGCATGGCAGGGGCCCAAGAGCTTAGACCACCATCCACTGCCTCCCAGGCACATTACCAGGAAGCTGTATCAAAAGTGGAGGAGCCAGGACTCAAACTGGCATTCCAAGTGGTGGATTAACCTGCTGTGCCAAACACCTGCACAACAATGGACTCTTACCAGGAAGAAAATTCTGACATATGATCTAACGCGGATGAACCTCTGAGGACACTAAGTGAAATGAGCTAGGCTCGAAGGGACAATTGTTTTATGATTCCACTAATGTGAGGTATCTAGTAAATTTACAGAGATAGAAGATAAAATAAAAATTATGAGGGGATGGGAGGAAGAGAGATGGCAAATTATTATTATTTAATAGGTAAGGAATATCCAACAGGGAAGATAAAGACATTCTGCAAACAGACAGTAGTGATGGGTGCACAATGTGAAAGTACCTCATACCACTGAACTATATATCTAGAAACAGTTAAGATGGTAAATTTTATATTATGTATATTTTAGCACCATAAAAAGAAATAAAGATACTGTCAGACAGAAAAGGGTGAAATTTGTCACTAGTTGAACACACACTAAGGAAAATGAAAAGTTATTCTTCCAGCAGAAGGCAATGATCCTATACAGAAGCTGGAACTGCAGGAGAAAGGAGAAGGGTACACGTGTCAGTCTAACTCTAAACAGAGAGCCATCATGCTACACAAGAATAGGAATGACTTCCAGGGCTGAAAACACAACGGAACATAAACTACATAGAGAAGACATCCAGGATGGGATAAGGATAAGGCAGTTAACCAGTTCTGAGTGTTACAATGTGGCCGCTCAGCCTGAACCAGGGGGTCTGCTAACGCAGAGCTTTAGGCCCAACTTCATACCCACTGAATCTGATGTGGGATCCCAGAATGAACACTCTAGTAAGTTTGCCAGTTGATCCTTGTACATAGGTTAACATCTGAGAAACAAGGTTCAGACTTTTTTGCACTGTATGGCAGGCATGGAAAAGACACTAATCATAAATATATATAACTCCAAAATTTGTAGGCATTAATGACATATAGTCGCAAAAGAAATAAGGGAAAAGTTGACAGAATCACATGAGACAAATTTCACAAGGCAGAAAAAGATTACTAACAATTTTCTCAAAACAGACCAAAAACGCATAATACTATAAAGCTAAGATTGACCCAATGGACCTATGTAGGAAAATTATACAGCTAGTATAAAAACAGAAGAAATATTTACCAAAAGTGATCCTATCTGGATCATAAAGCAAGTCAACAAACTTGACATTGCTGAATTATACTCTGAGAGCAGAGAATGTCCTCTGACCACAGAGCAACTGAGCTATAAATCAGTAAGAGAAATGTAACTTTGAAATCCCCATGTATTTGAAATCACTTCTAAATAACTCATGAATCAGTCAAAGAAGAAATCACAAGGGAAACTACAGAAAGACATTGAATTTGAGGCCCCCACATTGGTGTAGTACGTTAAGCCAAAGCCTGAAGCGCTGGCAACCCATATAGGCACTGGTTTGAGTCCTGGCTGTTTCACTTCCATCCAGATCCCTGCTGATGCGCCTGGGAGAGCAGCAGAAGATGGCCAAAGTTCCTGGGCCCTTGCTGCCCACGTGGAAGACCCAGAAGATGCTTCTGGCTCCTGACTTCAGCCTGGCCAAGCCCTGGTCATGTGGCTATCTGGGGAGTGAACAAGTGGATGGAAGATCTCTGTCTCTCCCCTTCTCTCTTTAACCCTGCCTTTCAAATAAATAAATAAATCTTTAAAGAAAAAAAAGAAATATATTGAATTAGATGACAAGGAAAATGCTACATATAAATTATGTGGAATGCAGGGAGAGTCTTGCTGATAACACAGAGGACCAACAGCATTAAACACTGGTGCTTTGAAAGGACTAATAAGACACACTCATTCCTGGTGAGCAGATCAAGAAAAAAGAGAAACAAAAACAAGCAATGTCAGGATATTTAATTTACCCTCCCTCCATAAAACAAAAGATGATTATCAGTACAGATCCTACAGACTTGATATAAATTACATCTTAATAAAAATGTAATGAAAGCACATTGCAAACAACATAAGGAGAGTGAGCAAAAAGTTAGATACCACTTAAAAAAATACTGATGGGGCCAGCATTGTGGCACAGTGGGTAAAGCCATGGC